ACTTAGCTGAATCCGTGGCGAAATTCAGCTGCTCTACAGGTTGGGCTTCATAGTGTCCTTGATATGCGAGCGAGAATATCTTTGTAAAGAGCTTGTAAAGCACGCTCAGCAGGCATATTGGACGGTAGTTTCGAAGATCCTACCCTCGCCCTTCTTATGAAGAAGGATTGTTCGGGAGCTGCTCCACTGGTCGGGGATCTTTTCCATTTGAAAATGGGACGTTATGTCTGCAAGTACTGTAGGCGATGTCCTCCAGCTCGTAAGAGGTTGGCCGACATGGTCCGGTCCCGGAGGCTGCCTTCAAGGTCTGGATTGCGGCGCGTACTTCAGCAGGTAGAATCCGTGGTGGTATTTCTCTAGTGGGAATAAAGGAGTTTGACACGGGTGTTAACGAGCGAAAGAGATTGGTGTAGAATCTCTTCGTGATCGTTTCTTTTTTGTTGGAAAAATGTGCGAGTCCCGTCTTCGTTTAGTAATGTTGTCAGCGGAACATGATAGTCGAGGAGGTCCCTGCGGTACTTCTTCAAACTCCTTCTTCCTTGTGCTGCTTCTTTGTCTGTACTTTCGTAGATCTTCTTCCAAAGCTGTTCTCAACTGGTACTGGCTATCAGTCGCTCGAAATGTGGTACAGTCGGCTCCAGCCTTAATGCTCTTCTCCTCTCTAGCGGATCGTTGGTGGCTTTCGTAATCTTTTCCAAGTTCTCACCACAGGCTTTCAGTCCTCTAAGAAGCAGGTCTTAGTTTTTCGTCGGGTCCTCCTCGATGGGCCAATCACAAGGGTCAGGAGCTCCTCCAATCTGACACCGTCATATACGACTTTTCTCCTTCCTGCAATACGGTGGCAGATCTTCTTTTCCAGCTTTCGGCTGAATCGCACTTTTGCTCGAAGGAGGCGGTGAGAGCCACTACTGAGAGATGGTACCACTGAGACGTCCAAAGCACCACCTTTGGTTGGTGAGAATGTGGTCGATCTCCGCCTTAATCGTACCGTTGGGTGACTCCCATGTCCACCGCCGGTGTTTTTCCTTCCTTCCTGAAAATAGAGTTGCCATGAAAAAGTCATGCAGCGAATACAAGCCCAACAAGACGATTACCATTCTCATTCCGAAGTCCTGATCCAAACCTCTCAATCCTATGCTCCCCTTCTTCTGGCATCCCGATTTTCGCATTGAATGCACCCGCGACGAACTTATAGAAGCAGTTTGCTTTGCGGATGACTTCCAAAACCTCGGAAAAAGCATCAAGTTCCGAATCATCAGCTGATGTTGGAGAATAACCGTTTATGATAGTAATGATTTTTTGATGCAAAGGAAGGAGGCGAAGGATAGCCAAGCAAGGTGATGGGATCCCATGCGAATCGACAAGATGGAGAATAGATGGGTGTACACAAATTCAACGCCTCCAACATTCCCTGATGGAACTTTCTCACCATGAATGATGTGCCTCACTGAGCTGGCTCACATCCATCTTTCTTGACTTTTCCCGCAAGCCGATTATGTGATAATTGATGCGCCGCGCAATTTCGAGAAGGGACAGATCCACTGCCTCCAACGTTCCCTGACTGACCTGGACTTTCTCACCATGAATGATGTGCCATCATTGAGCTGCCTCACGTCCATCTTTGTTGACTTTTCCCGCAAGCCGATTACGTGATAATTGATGCGCCGCGCAATTTCGAGAAGGGCGTGAAAATTGGCGTTAGTGGAAACTGTCCTGCGCTGTAGGTGCAGAGCATGAGACAATCTCCATGGCAAGTCGTTAACGTGTCCTTTTGGTCCGAAATCCATGGCGTCCTATGCAATCTGACACTGGTCTTGATGACAACGCCGTAGATGTAATTCAGTGTGCAGGGCTTCTTTTTCTCTTACATGCTGTACAGGCAAGAAGTAAAGGACATCTCCCCAAACATTAGCAGTGCCGTGCCAGGGTCCTACCAAGCTTTCCCAGGCAATCGCGACCTTATGTGGATCAGGGAGCCACCTAACGACTGAATCAGCTAGACGGTGGTGCTTCTGACAGGGCTTACTCTTAGCTGGGCATG